AGCCCCTGTCTAAAAAAAAAAAAAACAATTGTGCTATTATAAATTCAGTAGTGGACTGGTAAGATGGTTCAGTAAAAGCACTTACTACGAAGGCTGACCACCTGAGTTTGATCCCCAGGATCCACATGGTGGAGAGAACATGACTCCTACTGGTTCTCCTCTCTCTCTCTCTCTCTCTCTCTCTCTCTCTCTCTTTCTCTCTCTCATAAAATTTAAAAAATTTAATTGTGGTAAACCTTGAGTATATCAAAGTATTTCCATAAAGTTAAGAATTAACAAAGGCTATAAAAAGCAACTAAAAAGGTATGTAATACATAGAAAATGCGTCGAAAATTGAGAATTCAGGGACCAGCAAGGGCACTTATTTCATGTGAAGTGAAAAAAAATTCAACTGCCTTAGAATACTGTAATAACACTAAGCTCTTATTTATTTTTGTACTTATTTATTTGATGTGTATGAGAGTTTGGCCTTCATGTAATCATGTCCACATGTGTTTGTGCCCATGGAGGTCAGATGAGGGTATTAGATCCCATGGAACTGGTTTTTAGCTATTTTATGGGTGCTGGGAACCAAACCCAGGTCCTCTGCAAGAGCAGCAAGTGTTCTAAATTGCTGAGCCAACTCCCCAGCCTCAATAAATCCAATTTATGATGTTGAGAATGTACAGAAGTAAATTTTTAAAAATGCAAGTGATGGGCTATGGATGTGGCTCACTCACATGGCAGAGTGCTTGTCTAGTGTGTACAAATACATGAATTCAATCTCTAGCACCATATGAAATTGGGCATGGTGGTGCATGCCTATAATCCCAGCCCTTGGGAAGCAAAGGCAGGATAATCAGGAGTCATAGTGATCCTTGGCTACATAATAAGTGCAAGGCCAACCTGGGCTACTCGAGACCTATCTCAAAACAGAACAATCAGGAGCTAGGGAGATAGCTCGGTGGTCAGGAGCTGGATACCCATGCAGAGGACTGGGGTTTGGTTCCCAGAACCCACATCGTGGCCAGCAATGATCCATCACTCCAGTTCCAGGGAATCCGACGTCCTCTTCTGACCTCCACAGGCACTGCATGACATGGGTACCCTTACATACATGCAGGCAATGTACTCATACATATAAAATAAAAATAATAAAATATTTTAAAGCACACACATACACATCAACTGAAACTTATCTTAGGTCCTATTCTGGTCTTCACTATAAAAATGACATACATATATAAAACTGTTTGTAGGGGTGTATGTATGTATGTGCACACATGCATGCATGTGTGGTGGTGGGGGACCTTGTAAATGCTGCTTCAATTTATCCAAAAGTGTGATTCAACTCTCTTACCTCCTGTCTTTCAGGTCCCCCAAACGCTATCTGTCTTGCTTCTTCCACAGTCTCACAGAGAAGGCCATTTCCACAGACAAACGGAACCACTTTCTTTAACTGAAGAAACTGAATCTTTATAACATCAATCGTCATTTTACAGCCCCTAATTTCCCTTAGTCTTTCATTGATAGGCTTGATCTGAAAGGTTAAAGGGACTTGATGTATTAGTTACTTTAAAATTAAACACTCATATTTTTTCCACAATACAGAAAAAGATTAACAGTATGCCCTTATAACCATGAAAGTCTGATAACATGAAAAATGAAATCCTATATTGTCCTATATAATAATTTTGAAAACACAAACACTAAGCCAGAAGGCAAAACTTCCAGATTCAACTGTCGGTAACTACTTGTTACAAAACAATACATAAGAAGTCTTTTATGCTCTCTAAATCATAAAATACAGGGGAAAGCAACATGCCCTTAGAAATGTACTGAAAGGCAGCATAATACTACAGAGCTAGAAGGCCCTCTAGGGTGAAATGATCAGGAAACCTTCAGACCTTAAGACACAACTTTCAGGTTTCTCTCTACAAATCAAAAATGTATCTGCAGTGTATTACTGAAATCCAGCAAGTATGATGATCCCTGTTAAAAGAAATCCTGGAAACACTAAAATGTTTAGTATATATACACATACACAAGGGTGAATATGTGTGTGTGTTCATGTATGTGTGTGTGCCCACACATATATGGCTCAAGTGTATGGAAAAACAGTCTAAAGCAGTTACTATTTAAGAACTGCGAACAGAAAGAATATATATCTCAAGTGTATGGAAAAACAGTCTAAAGCAGTTACTATTTAAGAACTGTGAACAGAAAGAGGTAGAACTATTCCCTTTACATTTTATATATCTGTATTTTTTTACTTTTATTTATTGTGTGCAATGTGTATACATATATTAAGTGTATTGGCATGGATATGCAATGGCACGCATGTGGAGGTCGCGGGACAACTTGGGGGAGTCAGTTTTTTCCTTTCACCACATGGATTCTGGGAACTAAATTCTGATGATCAGGCTTGGTGGCAAGCAAACGTCTTTATCTGCAGAGCCATCTCACTCACCCCATATAACACTTTTAAAAAGATGTGTTTGCCTTGGGAAAAATAAAATTCCCAAGTGAGTAACATAAAAAAAAACTCTTTTAACAGGCAAGTGAATTAAGAGTAAGACTCTTTCATGGGCATAGGCATAAGCAAAATGTTGAAGCAAGAAACGCAGGTCTGGCTTTGAGTAACACAGCTTGCACTTGCTAACCTCTCCTCTGGTCAGGCACTATGTCAGGTAAAGAGCCCCTGCAATAATCTAACAAGGCAAGGATTTCTTTATTTCACAAATGCAGAAATGGAACCTCAACAAACTTAAGAACCCACTAGCAGGGGCTGGACAGATGGCTAAGCGGTTAAGAACACTAGCTGTTCTTACAGAAGACCTGTGTTCAAATCCCAGCACCGACATGGCCACTAACAACTGTCCGTAACTCCAGTCCCAGGGGATCCAACAGCCTCTTCTGATTTCCTCAGGCACTGCACGACATGGGTGCACTTACCTCATGCAGGCAATATGTGCATACACATAAAATAAAAATAATAAATGAAATTTTAAAAAAGAACCCACTAGTAGAGCTATTTAGGAGTAGGACTAGGATTCAGAATGTAGCAGCCTGTGTTCTTGACCACTATGGACTCTACATACAGTTCAGGAATGAGACTGCTTGTGCTGGGCAGTATTTGTCAACTTTATACAAACTAGGGTCTACGGAGAAGAGGGAGTCCAACTGAAGAATTTCCCAGATGGAATAACTGGTAAACATGTCTTATAAGGCATTTTCCTAATTTTTGATTGATGTAGCAGGACCCAGGCCACTGTGGGCAGTGCCACCCATGGGCAATTGGGCCTGGGCTGTATAAGAAAGGTAACTGAGGAAGCCCAGGGAAGCGAGCTAGTAAACTGCTCTCCTCTATGGTCTGTGCTTCAGTTCCTGCCTCCAGGTTCCTCCTTTGGATTCCCTTGATGACAGACTGTAACCCTTAAGCCAAACCTTTCCTCCCCCAAGTTGTTATTGTTTTGTTTTTGATCAGTGTTTTATCAGAGCAACAGAAAAGTAAGTTAGACTACTGCTGAATCAAATAGAAGATTTTCTTTAGTAGTTAATGAAAAGAATTACTACAGGGGAGATGAGAGCTCCTATTTCAGGGACCTAGACTTAGATATGCTCCTAAGGTGTCTTAATACATATTTCAAGACTCAAAATTTAGCCTTCTTGGCCAAGAGCTGATACTCAGGACCAAACATTTTCAACTGAGTTGGCATTTACCAACAGACTATATGTCTTAACCCATTTCCTATGCTTTGTTGTAAAACAGAACATATTGTTGGATAATAGACAGTGGCATACTGCCATAGCAGAGGAACTGAAGACTCTGAGGTAGAAGTAGAGGAAACTGACTAGGAAGAAAGGACACAAATCAAGGAATATAGTGACCCCCTTGATATTATTCTTCATCTGCCAGTAAAGAAACTCCAGCCATCTGTATGACTGGCTGACAGCCAAGCTACTTTTCCCCCCAAGATACCAGTTTGGGGAAATGACTAAGTAACTAAGCATTCAAAATTTGATAACTACTCAGTAGCAAACATTACAACTTTCTTACATCAAGGTAATCTAGAGTGAGGAATGGCTCAGGTTCAGCTCTTTCCTCCTTCAGAAATCGAATACAATCTCTTGCCACCTTTTTAGAGGCTACAATAATGGCAACCATGTACTGGCCAAACAGTTTAGTCACATTCAGCTGGTATTTCTTGTGGATAGGGTGACACAGGTCAAGCAGTCTTCCAAACTGAGTAGGTTTCAGAACAGGAGAGGAAAACAAAGATATTAATGAGGAACATATATTTCACACTTTCTAATGTCACAGAGCAGCATTACAGTTAATTTTATAAAATGATATACACAATTTAATACATTCAAATTCATTCCAATTTCATTATGAAATACCCCTATAGATGCCACACTTAAGTATTAAGATGATTCTATAAAAGTGCAGCAAATAATAATTCCTTCACCCCCTTGCTTATTAAACAAGAATCTAAAAGGTACCAACAGGGACTAACAAATAGTATTGAACAAAATGAATACCCTCTAACCTCATAACTCAGTCTAGCCAAAGAGGCTGGGGATTTAATTTGGTACTTTGGGCTCTCTCTTATATGTCTTAGTTTCCTCCCAGCATACCAGCTTTCTGAGTGTAGATCATCCTCATCTCCTATTTATTTTCTCTCACCTAATTAAGTCTCTTTGACCTCTCTTCTCTATTCAATCATCATTATCTCAAGTCTTTCTCTTCGCTACTTCAAATGTATTAACTGTGAGCAATTCTCAATAATAATGCTTTATCTTTCACTTGTTTTCTTAGCCTCAATTTCTTTTTTCGGGGGGGGGTCTTTTTGAGATAGCCTCTTTCTGTAGCCCTAGCTGGCCTCAAACTCAGAGGGATCCGCCTGCCCCTGCTTCTGGAGTATGGGATTAAGAGCGTGCACCACCACATTTGGCTCACAATTTCTTTTTAGTTGTATTCTTCCACCTCACATTTGAATCTAGTTTTACAAATTCAATTTCTTATTATTGTCCATAGCAGAAAAAAACTTGCAGAAAATTTTGCTATGTAACCCCCTAGACTGGGCTCTTTGACTTTTAAATGTTTTAAATGCTATCTTTGATGCTGAAGAGATGGCTCAGTGGTTAAGAGCACTGGCTCCTTTTGCAGAGGACCTGGGTTCAGTTCCCAGCACCCACATGACAGCTAACAACCATCTGTAACTCCAGTTACAGAGGATCTAATATGCCCTCTTCTAGCCTCTGTGGTCACTTATATGCATGGAGGCAAAACACAAACATAAAAAAATAAATTTTAAATAATACTATCTTCTCTTCATTTTTGTGTGTACCAAAAGCTGCGATATTCACTATTTCTCCTTGCCTGTGCTTTAAGGAGATGGCTTTGTTCGAACCACTCATTTTCTATAAGTGGGCAGCTTCTTGACGGCTTTCCCACAGAGTGAAAGGACTGTCTTCTTTGTGATGTGACAGCATCCACATTCCTGCTCTGCCCACTCTCCTAGCCCATAGGGGCTTAGGAGGGCAGGTGCACGTGAGGACTCAGCTGATTCTTTGTGAGAATACACTCTGAATGTCTCATTTCTCTCCAGAGTTTCCCATTAGCATTCTATGTCAAGGTGCTTCTATTTTGGGTAGGAAGACAAATCTTAGTTTGGTGGAAGGGGTTAAAAATAGCCTCTCAATTTAATGAGAAACCCTAGCGTCTTCTCTGTTTAGAGAACATTAGATTTACATTCCCTGGTCCACTAGTTTTTAAATTTAACTCTCTCCACTCAGAAAAGGAAACAAATACATAAGCTATGCTTCTTGATAAACTAATGCTACATTCATACTAGGTAACAATTCTTAGGAATTACTCAATTAACCAGCTTGGTTTCTGTAGAATTCAGAAAAAGAAATCCTATTCTTCTTTAAAATTTTTTAGGGGGTCTTTTTGAGACAGGGTCTCCCTGAAGCCCCAGCTTTCCTGGATTCATTATGGAGACCAGGCTGGCCTTGAACTCACAGACATCCGCCTACCTCTGCCTCCCTAGTGCTGGGATTAAAGTCATGCGCCACCATGCCTGGCCCTCTTTAAATTTTTTTTTTAATTATTTATGTTTATGTTTTACCTGCATGCATGTAAGGGGACCAAATGCATACAATATCTTTGGAGGCCAGAAAAGGTCATTAGATCCCCTGAACTGGAGTTACGGACAGTTGTTAGCCATTAAATAGAGGCTGAGAATGGAACCCGGGTCCTCTGCAACAATCAGTGCTCTTAAAATATTGAGCTAGCTCTCCAACTCCTTGTTTCTGCTTTTTAAAGAAGTGTGTGTGCACATTAGCCTGCAGAGGCCAGAAGAGGCATCAGATCCCCAGGAGCTGGAGTTGCAGGTGGTTGTGAGCCAATGGATGTCAATCCTGAGAACTGAAATGGGTTCTTGCAAGAGCATTAAGTGCTTTTAACTACTTAATCATATCTCCAGCTCACACCCCTTTTGAAATCTGAGCTACTGTAATTTTCTGCCATTAAGTACTGTAGTGGTTTGAAAGAGAATGTACCTCATAAGCTCTTCTTGGTGGTGTTATTGGGAGGTTTAGGAGGTGTGGATTTGCTGTGGAGGAAGTATGCCACTGGGGGTTTGCTATAGTGTGCCTGCTTCAAGTTTCTTTCCCTCTGCTTCCTGCACCTACTTGAAAATGTGCATACTGAGCTTTCTGCTCCAGCCACCTCTGCTGCCACACCTCCCCGTCTTTTGATAGACTCTTAGCTTCTGGACCTCAAGTGAAAAGACTCTTCCTTATATAAGTTGCCTTGGTCATGGTGTTATATCACAGCAACAGAAAGAAGCTAACACAGGTGCAGTGGTTGAACTAGTGCGTGCTTTTTAAAAGATAAGTTTGTGTCATTTTGCTAAGAATTGAAAAAACAAGATAAAACAAAAAAGAACACACACACACACACACACACACACACACACACACATACACACACACACACACACACACACACACACTAAAAACAAAACTGTATACATTTAGTGTTGGGCGGTGGCGCATGCCTTTAACCCTAGCACTCCAGCACTCAGGAGGCACAGGCAGGTGTATCTCTGTGGGTTCAAGGCCAGCCTGGTCTACAAAGTGAGTTCCAGGTCAGCTGGGGCTATAGGAAGACCCTGTCTCATAAAAAGATTAAAAAAACTGTATACATTTTGTTTCCCCCCAAGAAAGGAGTTTCAAGAAAGACAATGTAAAGGAGATGAAGACAGGTGTCTGTGAGAGTGCGACACCATGGAGGCCAGTGTCAAGTGTTCTGACACACAACAATGGTTAAGTATCAAGTACTGAGAACAGGCCTACCCAACATAGAGAATCCATAGGAACGCTGAGGCAGAGGTCAGGCCCCCAACATTAATGGTACCAATGTTGTGAGGCTAACTCCCCAAGTAACAGAGTCCACTGTATTTTGGCTAATAAAAATATAGTTAGTAATACTGGACACAGTAAGAACAAAAACATATGGTGATGATGCGGCCATATATCACATCTATACCTATCTATCTATAGAGAGATATTTAAAACCAAAATCCAAAAGAATTTGAGTTTTGAGGTTTCTTG